ACACATACAGCCTGCTGACACACACTCCATCTATTGTGGCACCACTCACAGAACCATCAGCTATTTACCTATAGAAACTTTGTTTCTATAGGTAAATACACATCTGAGTGTACAATATGACATGTGGGGTACCTCAAGGCTCCATCTTGGGGCCTCTTCTCTTTAACATCTACATGCTACCACTGGCTCAGATAATGAAAAACAACAAAAGAAGTTACCATAGCTATGCGGATTAAACATTTACATAACCATTTCACCAGGAGACTATGCTCCAATTCAAACACTGAGTAAGTGCATTGAACAAATCAATGACTGGATGTGTCAGAACTTTCTCCAATTAAACAAAGATAAAACTGAGGTAATGATTTTTGGAGCCAAGGCAGAACGAATAAAAGTTAGCGCTGAGCTTCAGTCTGCAATGTTCAAAACAACAGATAGAGCCAGAAATCTAGGTGTAGTCATGGACTCTGACCTGAGTTTCAACAGTCACATTAAAACAGTTACTAAGTCAGCCTACTATCACCTAAAGAAGCAAAGCAGGATTTGGAAAAACTTGTCCATGCTTTTATCTTCAGTAGACTGGACTACTGTAATAGTGTCTTTACAGGTCTCACTAAAAAATCTATTAGAAAGCTGCAGCTAATTCAGAACGCTGCTGCTCGAGTCCTCACTAACACTAAGAAAGTGGATCAGTCCAGTTCTGAAGTCTTTACACTGGTTCCTCACTAACACTAAGAAAGTGGATCAGTCCAGTTCTGAAGTCTTTACACTGGTTCCTCACTGACACTAAGAAAGTGGATCAGTCCAGTTCTGAAGTCTTTACACTGGTTCCTCACTAACACTAAGAAAGTGGATCAGTCCTGTTCTGAAGTCTTTACACTGGTTCCTCACTAACACTAAGAAAGTGGATCAGTCCAGTTCTGAAGTCTTTACACTGGCTCCTCACTAACACTAAGAAAGTGGTTCAGTCCAGTTCTGAAGTCTTTACACTGGTTCCTCACTAACACTAAGAAAGTGGATCAGTCCTGTTCTGAAGTCTTTACACTGGTTCCTCACTAACACTAAGAAAGTGGATCAGTCCAGTTCTGAAGTCTTTACACTGGTTCCTCACTAACACTAAGAAAGTGGATCAGTCCAGTTCTGAAGTCTTTACACTGGTTCCTCACTAACACTAAGAAAGTGGATCAGTCCAGTTCTGAAGTCTTTACACTGGTTCCTCACTAACACTAAGAAAGTGGATCAGTCCAGTTCTGAAGTCTTTACACTGGTTCCTCACTAACACTAAGAAAGTGGATCAGTCCAGTTCTGAAGTCTTTACACTGGCTTCCTGTGTGTCAAAGAATAGATTTCAAAATATTGCAGCTGGTTTATAAAGCTTTGAATGGTTTAGGCCCAAAATACATTTCTGACCTACTGCTAAATTATGAACCATCCAGAACTCTCAGGTCTTCAGGGACTGGTCAGCTTTCTGTCCCCAGAGTCAGAACTAAACATGGAGAAGTTCAGTTATTATGCTCCAAATATCTGGAACAAACTCCCAGAAACCTGCCGGTCCGCTGCAAATTCTGACTACTTTTAAATCCAGGCTGAAGACTTTTATTTTTGCCGCTGCTTTCAATTGAACTATTCACATCTTAAACTGCACTGTAACTTTTATCCATGTATTTTTTCTTTTAATGTTTATTTTATTATCTTTGCTTTTTAATGACTGATTTTAAATGCCATTTTCTTAATGTCTTTCATTTTTTGTAAAGCACTTTGAATTGCCTCGTGTTGAAAGGTGCTATATAAATAAACTTGCCTTGCCTTACTATTTCTGGCTTCTTCAATCTAACCTACTAAAGCTGGACATGTGAGTCTGGGTCCAGAGGGTGGTAACCATGACTTCCTGTGATACTCACAGCAGCGAGTGAACGGCTCCCAGGCTCGGGGCCTCAGGTACGGTTTGGCCTGCGGCTGCTGGAGCAGGCACATCACGGCTGAGTCCACCTGCTGGAACACCCTGCACACAGAGGGGGGGGGGGGGGGTCACTCCACCTGCTATCCCAGACCGCTCTGGAATATGATCTGCACAAAGGGGAGGGCTCCTCACCCTGGTGTTTCAACAATAACAACATGGCTCTCAGAATACAATGTCAAGAAATGTATATTGGATGATTTCAGCTCTTTCAGACAGCAGGGCCACAGTCCAACTCAACTCATTTACTAACACCAATTCATTTTGTATCTTTTTTTGCTTTATATGAAATGTCTGAGCTGTCCAGTGACCAGGAAGAACATCCATATTAAGGAGCCAATAAGCACTTAAGGCAACTTTCTCTTGATCTGAATCTTGTTACAAGTTGACTCCTAACAGCTAGATAAAGGGCAGGTTAGAAGTTATAAGACAGATGGAGGTACCGGAGGCTGAGCAGGCGCTGGTGGAGTTCTGCTGACAGACCGTATCTGTCAGACTGGATCAACTCTCTGATGGAATCAAAGTCCTGCTTCAGCTGGAGAGCCCCCTGCACACTGAAGGAGGGGGGGGTTAATATATATATACACATATATATAGACATACGTATATGTATACATACATGGTAAATGGACTGTATTTATATTAAAGATTCAAGGGTTTTATTGTCATATGCACAGTAGCTACAGTAGTTATGGCAATGCTGCTCCAACAATGCAACATATTATATACGACATAAGAAAAAATAAATAATAATAAAATAAAAATAGTGCAAATGAAACAGTACGATACATTTGAATAAAATAGTGCAGGTTATGTTGCTAGACCAGTCTACAATTAATGTGGATGAAATGAACTATATACACATGTCAGAAAATCAATCAATCCAATAAGCTAAATGATGCAGAGAATGTTCAAAGTGGATTCTATGTACATGGAAGTAGAATACAATATAAAAGAACAGAATGTAAGGTTGAATATTGTACAGTGAATTACAATGAAATACTGTTTGATCCAGTGATAACTATTAAGATAATAAATTGAATAAATTCTAAGACGCAACCAGATGAATGCTTTGGGTTATGGAGGCACTTTACAGAGCTCAGGTGTTTAGCAGTCTTCTGGCCTGTGGGATGAAGCTGTCCCTGAGTCTGGTGGTTTTAGTCCTGATGCTGCGGTACCGCCTGCCAGACGGCAGCAGACAGAACACTTTATGGCTGGGGTGATATATAGCGCTTAATCTAGTCTTTACGACCCCTCAAAGTGCTTTACATACTAAAAGTCATCATTCACAATGAACAGCTACATATGTGTATAATGTAATAAGTATTAAATGATATACTGTAATTGTTTTACTGTAATAGTGTTGATGGATGTGGAAAGTGGTCATTTCTATTCCAAAGCATTATTATTTATTGGCATTTAGTTTGATCCAAAAGTGATTAAAGAGAGAGGGGTGTGAGATAAAACACAGATGGTCTGGCTGGGAGTCACACAGATTTCAAAGCTGTTGTTTGGTGGATAACATGGTGGTGGGCATCAATGTGAGAAGCAGAAGCAGACCTGAATTTGATCCTCTGTTTCAGGATGTGCTCCATCCAGGCCTCCATGAAAGCTGTGGTTGTGATGCTCAGAGCCTGGACACGGGCATCCTCGGACAGTGGAGCCACGCCCTCTAAAACCTGGCCAATCACAGTCTGAGCTGCCAGAGACACATACTCACTGGGGCTGCTGGGAAAACCTGCGCAGCGACAGAGAAATACACAATCCAACATTCTTTTAGAGGTCCACGTTATACAGCAGGGTGATTAGTTTGAAGAAGTACAGTACAAATAAAGTATGTTATTGTTATTATTATGTGAAATGATGCAATGGGATGGCCCTCTGACAGGCACCTTTATTCTAAATGAAGCAACATGCAGATGCCCTTAAGCTTTATACCTGTATTATATATGATATACTGAACCGCATGAGTGCTGAGTATGACAGGACTTTATCATCTTCCTAATAATTCGGCGGTGTGCAGTGTGGAATTAGATCAGCAGTTCTGTAGAAAACGGCAAAGACCCGGTCTGCCCTGTGACTGCCGGCACTAAGATATTACAGCGCAAAAGACGTGCGTCTAAATCAGAAAACAGAGCGGCCATGTTGGCTAACTATGGGACAACTCTGTATGCTTTCTTTCACTGTTTGTCAAGGCCTTCAGCCTCAGTTAACTCTGTCCTCTAAACTTTGGATTATTTAGATGTATTTATCTTCTTATTTTTCGTTCCTGTGAATGTTTTTCCTTTTTGTTCCCCTGACGGCCCCCTCGTGTAAAGCGTCCTTGGGTCTCATGAAAGGCACTATATAATGTTATTGTGTGTGTGTGTGTTAAACAAGGTTTACCTTTGTCCTTAGCATTGCGGTACAGGGGCAAAAAAGTACCGCATTATAATGAAAGACATCTCTATAATGTTGGCCAAGCTGACTGACTGTTCCAAAAGGTTGACTACAGCTGGAGCAAACACATATAATGGGGCTTTGACTTTATTGAGGCCAGAACATTTTCATGGGAGCTTTTGCACTCATGATGCGCACTCTGTAATGCTACAGCACACGTACAGAGTCTCACAAGTTGAACCTGAACACGCACTGCACTAGTTACCTTCAACGGCCCAGGTCCTTTGATTCATTGATGATGTAGATTGCATCTATCAGAGTGTGGCTTACCATTCCCTTATGTTAGAATGTTCAAACAAAACCACGGAGATGGATGTATGCCAAAGCAATCAAGAGTGTGTGTATTCTTTAGTTACAAGCCCAGTTTACAGCAGCTAAAATGTTATCGTCTGCAGAGATGAGTGTAAACATAGACTGAAGACCACCAGCAGTCAGAGGTGAGCACCTGTCCTGAGGCTGGGTCTCCAGTGTCCAGCAGAGGGCATGGTCTGCTCAAAGATCTCCCCTGACATCCTCTTGCAGTCACTGGAGAAGGTGTGCAGCAGCAGGGAGGAGAAGGTCTGATGGAGAGAGCAGCAGGGTCACAGTACACCCACATCCTTTG